ATGAATGTACTTTGCCTCGATATTTGAGTATTGTTCTAACTATCGCAAATTTCTCATAGAGAACCCATATTGTAATTTATTTTACGCATTCATCAACTATGGTTTTGTGTTGGCAGACGTGTTTGTATATAAGATTTTGAGTAATTTTTGTCGGCAATAGACTAGGCAGGTATAATTAACCGTTTGGGAAAAAAAATTCGTAGTATATTGATATTATGATGTATTATGAGCTCGCGTGAGTAAACCCTGATACCTCTAGATTAGTCTAGATAGTCCTGCGATCAGATTCGTTGGATTGGGCAGTTGCCATTTCATGCGACTTTGCGTTTTACATAGCGATGTCTATGGGCTTTTGTAAACTTTCAAAACTGGGCTGAGCCGTGAGATGGTTTGTGAAATCTAAATGAAAAAAAAACCATGTTATTTCTTGAATCGTTATGAGAATTCCAGTTAAACAATGAACACATTTACTAATCTATTTCGTAATGAAAATATTAGACCAGCTATATAAAATTACTAACCATACTTTATTCAGCTTGAGTGTACGCAGCTAGTAAAAAATCGACTATGCCACTTTCCCACGAGATTCCAGTAGTGGAATAAAAAGTAAGCTCTAAGACACGTCATAAACGACCCCGGGTGACCTCTTTAAGGGGTCCATATTCCTAATATGCGTACGTGCTAGCGACCTCAATGGCCGTGATAAAGAACTAACGTGCCTCCCTTTGTGACAACTTAAACTTGCTATCCACCGAGCTAAAGATCTTATATTATAGCATATCGACGCTTGAAAGGCAAACGTGACTAAGCGACAATAACTGCTTTGTACATAAATTATAGGCAATAACCATATTCGACGCGCAAAAAATATATGTTTGTAAAAAATTATTTCAATCCTACTGCTAGATTCGTTAAAATAATTTTTTTTTTCAGGTATTTCAACTTTAAATTAGTCTACTGTAAAGTTCACGCATTGTCGCTTAGTCACGTTTGCCTTTCAAGCGTCGATATGTAAATCAAGTAACTAATTTTTTTTAATTTTTATAATTAGTTAAAAATAAAATGTACTAATATAATCTCTTCTTTTTTTCTTCACCTTATCCTACTAGGTGGGATCGACAGATATTTTTTCTCTTCCATTCTCTTTTATCAGCCGCCATCTCAACAATCACTCCTCTCTCTCTCTCTCTCATATCGTTCACACACTCCATCCAAGTCTTCTTCGGTCGACCTTTTCCCCCTAAAATGTCCTAATAATATAATAAATATTTCAATAACGTCAGACTATACGAAGAAATGTCCAATATTCAGGATTTTTACTAGCATTTCTGACATTTCCCAGTCTCCACTGCTACAGAGCATTTAGGTTGTTTTGAATTTTTTATCATACCATACTGATTCGTAATTTAGATTGACATTTTCATTTCGTTTTGCCAAACAGTAACTATCGGAGTAGCGGTAGTAGTAACATTAAGATAATGAATGACCAATACAAATGTTATAAATAATGTTTGTTTTTGTCTATCTATTGAATCCCATCTGCATTGTTCATCTTCCCAATACATAATAATTATAGACTTACTATCTGTAAAGAGATCTTCGTTCCATAGCTTAGCGTGATTTATACCACATGCCTTATCTTCCTCCGTCAGAGGGACAGGCTGGTCAAAAATATAAAGGGCCTCAAAATTAAATTCCGCTGGTCCATAAAGTATACGGTTACGTCATTATAAAAGAGAAAGACGGCGCGTATTTTAGTCAGCGTACCTCTAAATTTTGTTGGCTCTTTGATATGTGATATTTTTTTTCTAGAATATGAAAATTATTAGACCAGCGTTCAAAAATACCCAAAAGAATTTTATTTATTTTAGTACTTGTTAAAAATCAAAGGTAATGTCAATTTCCCAAATCTATCGACTACTTGAGCCAAATTTTGCTATAAAATTAAACCTATTTATCGCAAGTCCGATTAAGAAATAAAACTTTATTAATTGAAATAAAAAAGCTACCTATTTTCGAAGTCCGATTTTTTTTTGTTGCTTTGATGGGTGGGTGTACGAGCTCACAGCCCACATGGTGTTAAGTGGTTACTGGAGCCCATAGACATCCACAACGTAAATGCGCCACCCACCATGAGATATAAGTTCTAAGGTCTCAGTATAGTTACAACGGCTGCCCCACCCTTCAAACCGAAACGCATTACTGCTTCACAGCAGAAATAGGCAGGGCGGTGGTACCTACTCNTGTTGCTTTAATGGGTGGGTGTACGAGCTCACAGCCCACATGGTGTTAAGTGGTTACTGGAGCCCATAGACATCCACAACGTAAATGCGCCACCCACCATGAGATATAAGTTCTAAGGTCTCAGTATAGTTACAACGGCTGCCCCACCCTTCAAACCGAAACGCATTACTGCTTCACAGCAGAAATAGGCAGGGCGGTGGTACCTACTCGTGCTCACAAAAGGTCCTACCACCAGTAATTACCCAAATTTTCAATTTTAATTACACGATGTTATTCTTTCACCGTGGAAGTCAATCGTGAACATTTGATGAGTACGTATTTCATTAGAAAAATTGGTACCCGCCTGAGATTCGAACATCGGTGCATCGCTCAACACGAATGCAACGGACGTCTTATCCGTTAGGCCACGACGACTTAGAAAAAAAAAAACTTTTTTAATTGAAATAAAAAAAAAAGAATTTGCCCGTCTGTAAATTGGAACACAAAATGTTCCAAATTTAAGAACCGACTTGATTTCACGAACGAAACACCGAACATTTCATCCGTGACGACATTTTAAGGAGTTCCATATTCGAATCTAATGCCCCGTGACGTTACATTTTCAGCTGTCAACTTGAATGTCGCCTGACGATTTGAGTTCTGGCCCCTTGAAAATAAAGTTCAAATTACATATATTTCGAAGCATTGCATGAATGATTGAATTCTAAACTTGGAGTGATGATTCATTGAATTTTTCGATGGCTTTGTCTTGCAATGTTTTGGTGGTTATGAACGAATTCATTAAAAGCTGAGGAATTTTTGGCTGTAGATTAAGTTAACCTCTAATTAAAGTCTTTGTGAAAGTCTGGGTGATACTATAGTATTTTTAGTAGTATTAGTTAGTATTTTTCTTCATTACCAAATGGCAAATGTTAGTGAAATGAGCACTTAATGCAAGCTATAAGAAATAGTTAGGTTCGTCTTAGCTACGACTAGTTGGCAAAGGATGATAATATTTAAGAAAGAGTATTAAACCCAACAACAGCCAACTTAAATCTCACAAAGAAATATTCTCTAACATAATCTTCGTTGTTTTTACCATCGCACCGCCCGCCACCGGAGTAGAGTTCATCCATACTACCTGGAGCCACTGCGGTCATCGACAGTGCGTTTCCAGAGGTCTTTTATGCCACGTACCATCCGGCTATGGAATGAGCTCCCCTCCACGGTGTTTCCCGAGCGCTATGACATGTCCTTCTTTAAAAGAGGCTTGTGGACAGTATTAAGCGGTAGGCAGCGGCTTGGCTCTGCCCCTGGCATTGCTGAAGTCCATGGGCGACGGTAACCACTCACCCTCAGGTGGGCCGTATGCTCGTCTGCCTACAAGGGCAATAAAAAAAAAAGTATGACCGGCTTCATATTTCAAGTTACCTGATTAGTTTTTTTACGTATTTGACGAATTTGTTAGTAATCATTTTATTTTATTTATCGAGTTCAAAAAGAAACCGCATGTTTCACCAGCGCATGCAATCGACACATGTAATTGTATCAACATCTAATTTGTACTGAACGTATTGTACTGATCTGTAATATGTGGGTACTCACCAAATAAATGCAAACCAAAAACTCCGAATATCTTCTAAATTTAACAAGCTCTTGAAAAATTCAATTCAAGACGCTCTTTTGGAAGTTGCATGTAAATGAGGAGCTCAAAGCCCACCTTAAGGTGGTTATTAGATCTCATGGACAGCAGGATATAACTGTTGCTACTCATCTTGGGACAACAGATGCCTATTTCTGCCGTGAAGCAGTAATGCGTTTCGATTTGAAGGGTAGGGCAGCCGTTGTAACTATACTTGAAATCTTAGAACTTATACCTCAAGGTAAGTGGCGCATTTACGTTGTAGATGTCTATGGGCTCCAGTAACCACTTAACACCAGGTGGGTTGTGAGCTCGTCTACCCATCTAAGCAATAAAAAAAAGATCAATTTCTCAATTAAATTGGTACAAGCTTCCCTACCCTCCAGTGATCACGACGGAATCAGACAGAAGGGAAGTTCCTACTCGTGCGATCTAATATACTCTATTCCAATTAAGAAGTCCCTTTTGACACTTCTTAGAACGTAACTCTCCACGTTTCGCATAATTTTAAATAATAACCATTTTTTGTTCATGGTCGTAAACATAATTTAAAAAATACACATCTAAATCATTAACTAAATCAATAATTATCTAAATGATTGATTTAGATAATGATCATGACGGCTTGACGACCGTCTGGTGTAGTGGTAAGTGACATGGTCACTAACTACACAAGGGGGTCGCGGGTTCGAATCCCGCCAAGGGAAGATATTTGTATGTAAAATATAAAATGTCTTTTCCAGGGTTATGGATGTAAATTAAATATATGTATGTGTATAATAAAAATCTTATATTTATTTCCGTTATCTGGTACCTGTAACACAAGTTCTTTACGAACTTACCACGGGACCAGTTAACGTAGCGTGATTGTTAGTAAATATTTAATATTTGTATCATTATCTAAATCATTACCTAAATCACAATCTAAATCATTATACAATTAATTCACACACACAATAACATAATAATAACATCTGTCTCATGGGACTTCGTAATTGGAATAGAGTATATAATATGTCGCACACGAGACGTTTATAACACAGCGAATCTCGATTTTGTACCTACCTACCAAATAATTATTCATTCCCAATATATGCTTATGTAGTTGAATACACCATATTTTGTTTGTCCGCAGGTGAGTCGCAACAGAATGGAGAAGACTGCAGTTATAGTTATATAAGTGAGTTGTTAATTGCTTTACTGTATTCTTTTCTTTATTTAGAACATTAAAATTTTCACTTCGTCACATAGCCTGATACCGTGAATGATTAATTTTGGACCGTATGTCGTTTAAATTTTTTTGTATTGCCCTTGTAGGCAGACGAGCATATGGCCCACCTGACTACTCACAGTCAGAAATACTATAGGCAGAGCCAAGCCGCTGCCTACCGCTTAATACTCTCCACAAGCCTCGTTTGAAAAAGGATATGTCATAGCGCTCAGGAAATAATCCATCAGCTTTTTTTTTTAAAATAAGTTTGTCACCATTGTTTTGTATGCTAAACTGAAAGCGTATTATTTTTTACTCTTTAACGTCAACTTCCATACTTTAGCCCATTGAGTTTCATGTAGTCGATTCTGCGAAGCATTGCTCTTGCGAGGGTGTTAGCAAGGTCGTCAGGTTTGAGCCCCGTGAGCTCACCTACTTGGTAGGGTTACGCTGAAATAGCCTCTCAAGGCTATCAGCTTAGGTAGGAAAAAAGTGTATAAGTAAAATTACGAAGCTACAATTCATATCAAAAACTTGAACACTCATTTATCACAACTGAAATTCTTATATTAAATCTTCTACATTTAATTTCATTGTTCACAAGATCTTATCACCTATCTCGTGGTATCCCTTCAATGACTAATAAGACCGTTTTCAACTCGACTGTACTTTTTTTATAAATTGTGTGGTATTACTTCAGAATTTTCTCCACGATGAACTTAGATTTTCATGCCCCTTCTGTTTTTTAAAAATATAGTTTCTCATTTGATCCGATTCGTTAAATAAAAGACTCGTTAATTTTTGAGTTACCCAATATTGATGATATTCTCATTAAATTTCATTTTAACTCGAGTTTCTTTTTGTTTAAAATGTCGCTTATGCAATTCCTAGATAAAGAAAACGGCTGTTACAAAATTCCCTACAAAATTGATACAATTCCGTTCTGAAAATACACAAAACGTTGCAGTGTCGCATGAATCGATAACGAGATGAAATCGAAACAGCGGCGCGGCGCCTGAATATGTGATGGACACACTGTCGAAATTGAATAAATTAATCTAGATTACGTTAATAATTTGCTGGGAAAGATAAACGTGCAAATAGGGCTCTATATATTAATACGTGAAGCAAAAACTTTGTATCCCTTTTTACGAAAATTGCGCGGACGGAGGAGTATGAAATTTTTCACACTTATAGAGAATATAGAGAAGAAGTGCACAATGCTAATTTTGTTTTAAAATAATGCATAAAAGATACATTAAATCAATAAAGAAAACATTACACACACTATATACCATGTATTCGACGCACACACGCATGCATACTATTTATGTCAAACTATTGTTCTTGACGTCTGTGGTCAAATTGAGAATAGATTAAATATTGTTTGTCTTTGTTAATATTTTTATAGTGTAGTCTTGGCGAAATTTGTGATTACAAAAGTATAAAATACAATCATAATAGTGTACAAACTTACAATTCCAATTAATTATAGTCGAATTTCGACTACTGCGGGACCTCTAGTAGGGTTTAATTGCGCAAATCGGAAGAGGTCTAATAGATTCAGCAGTGGACAAGATTTTTTTTATTGGCCTTCAAACCAAAACGCATTACTACTTCACGGCAGAAATAGGCTGAGTGGTGGGTACCTAATAATTACGCAAATTATAATTTTTGCGGGTTTGATTTTTATTACTCGACGTTATTCCTTCATCGTGGAAGTAAATCGTGAACAATTGTTAAGTACGTATTTCATTACAAAAATTGGTACCCGCCTGCGGGATTCGAACACCGGTGCATCGCTTGATACGGATGCATCGGGCGTCTTATCCTTTAGGCCACGACGACTGTTAAGCGTGTCAGTTGTATTACATAGCAGCTGTTCTACATTTCAAACCAAAACGTTTAACAGCTTCGTGGCAGAAACAAGCAAGGTTGCGGTACCATCCCGTGCGGGTGCTTTGAGGAATTATTCGAGATGATACCATCATCTCGTTTTTACCATCGCACCGCCTGCCACCGGAGTAGAGTTCATCCATACTACCTGGAGCCACTGCGGTCATCCACAGTGCGTTTCCAGAGGTATTTTTTGCCACGTACCATCCGGCTATGGAATGAGCTCCCCTCCACGGTGTTTCCCGAGCGCTATGACATGTCCTTCTTCAAACGAGGCTTGTGGAGAGTATTAAGCGGTAGGCAGCGACTTGGCTCTGCCCCTGGCATTGCTGAATTCAGTCCATGGGCGACGGTAACCACTCACCATCAGGTGGGCCGTATGCTCGTCTGCCCAAAAAGGGCAATAAAAAAAGCCTTTTCCATCAGTATTTATGCAGATTTGTAAATTGTGCAAGTTTTTTGTTACTTGATACTACTGCTTCAACAGGGAAGAACACTTCATAAATAGCTACATATATGAGGCCGTCAGCGCAAAAGTGACCCAAGCTTACCACACTAAGTATCAAGATAATGAGGTCTGAATTTACTTTTACACTGCTTTGTAGGCCAAAACAATACGCGCTAAAATAATGTTTACAAAGCCATTTGTTATCTATGGGCGAAACTAGGGATAGACCGTTTTTGCATGAAAATTTATTATGTTTTAAATAAATTGCAATGTACATACACATGGGAATGTACATTAGTGCAATATGAAAAATAGTGCGTTAGGTCCCTTTTGCGCTGACGGCCTCACATATATTCCTTATAAAAATGATCACCAGCGTGCGTGATTTGATTCGTGGCATTCGTAAGTACATCGATTGATACAGGTGTATCTCAATTAAACTTCAATCAACTGCACGGATATCGGCAGTGCTTGGACCACAACCGAAAGTCAAAGTTGAAGTCGTTGTGGCCTAAAAGATAAGACGTCCGGTGCATACGTGTTGAGCGATGCACCGGTGTTCGAATCCTGCAGGCGGGTACCAATTTTTCTAATGAAATACTTACTCAACAAATGTTTACGATTGACTTCCACGGTGAAGGAATAACATCGTGTAATAGAAATCAAACCCGCAAAATTATAATTTGCGTAATTACTGCTGGTAGGACCTCTTGTGAGTCCGCGCGGGTAGGTACCACCGCCCCGCCTATTTCTGCCGTGAAGCAGTAATGCGTTTCGGTTTGAAGGCCGGGGCAGCTGTTGTAACTATACTGAGATCTTAGAACTTATATTTCAAGGTAGGTAACTCATTTACGTTGTAGATGTCTATGGGCTCCAGTAACCACTTAACACCAGGTAGGCTGTGAGCTCGTTCGTCCATCTAAGCAATAAAAAAAATCAACTGCACGGATATCGGCAGTACCTGGCCCACAACCAAATCCACAGGAGCTCGATCATCTTCTAGCGCGAGTTAAAAAATATGATAACGCAGCGACCATAAAAACATTGAAATATTCAACAAGTCTCTCTAGCTCATTAATAATTAATGCTATTGCTTGTTCTTTGAAACTTCACGTCAAAGGAGAAAGTCGGCTTGCATCGTTGGTTTTTTTTTCTGGAATAATTTCTTTCTTCTATGAGTTTATTGTTCACTGATTTTAGTTTGATTCGACCGAGGGGCGATCGTCGACTATTTGAGCTCACTGTACACGGATGTTAAGCGAGCAATTGACATTAATGTGATCTAAAACTTTGAGATATAAGTGAGATGCGCTTATATTTCTTCACTCAAACTTGTGAGTGAGGTCGAGGGTATTTTTTAAATTTTTTTATTGCTTAGATGGGTGGACGTGCTCACAACCCACCTGGTGATAAGTGGTTACTGGAGCCCATGGACATCTACAACGTATAGGCGCCACCCACCTTGAGATATGAGTTCTAAGGTCTCAAGTATAGGTACAACGGCTGCCCCACCCTTCAAACCGAAATGCATTACTGCTTCACGGCAGAAATAGGCAGGGTGGTGGTACCTAACCGTGCGGACTCACAATAGGTCCTACCACCAGTAATTGCGCAAATTATATTAGATTACAAATTATACAAATTATAATTAAATTATAATAGAACAGCCACTATTGATATGAATTATAGACTTTGGCCTTTCGTATGAAGGTTATATTGATAAGAAATTAAAATGAGGGTAGCCGTCAAATACTACAAAATAACAATAGAAAAACGCCTTGGAAATTTAATACGACATGAATAAAAATGACGAAACAAAACTACCAATAGACAGAAAAATCTTTACGTATCTATAAAAATAAGTCATTATTTCCAGTGACTGTACAAACTAAAATGAGTTTCAGTGGAACATAGCTAAAGCAATCCAACTCTAAAGTGCATTAGAAATAAATGCTAGATTGCATTAGACCAAAGTTCGGTGCCGCAACACCTTAAATCCAGAAAACTAAGCCAAAACGTAAACCGGGTCCATCCCGGATCCCAGCACTTGGAATTCCGGTCGTGCTCCACGATCCGCACGAATTCCGTCCTTTTCTCGCTACGGCTCATTCCGGATCAGCGTCTCTTTCCACTGCATCCGATTGCAGGACTGTTTCACGGCACGTTTTCTCACGTTACAGAAGTATCGGTGTCCCGATTCGGAATTCGCAATGTTTATTGAATTTTCCGAAGCGATTTTCCCTAATTTTGTTCTTTCCAAACTATTTTTTTCATTAGACGTGATATTATTTTTATAACTATTGCACGACATACTGATGTATTCCACAATACGAACCATTATTTTCACACGAACACAATTAGTATCATGCGTACTGTATTTACTGTACTGACGATCGCTGGAGCAGACGGGTTCTCGAGTGGAGACCGCGCAGCGGAAGACGTAACGTGGGACGCCCCCTGGCTAGATGGTGCGATTACCTCCGCACGGTGGCCGGCAAGAAGTGGATGAGGAGAGCCGCAGACCGGGCTCAGTGGTGTAGATTGAGAGAGGCCTATATCCAGCAGTGGACGACTGTGGGCTGTTGAAGATGATGATGATGATGATGATGTACTGTATTTTAGTTTT